TTCCAGGGGGGCGTCCCCCCTTCCCCCCATAACAGGGGCGGATACAGGGGGGCGGGGGACATTCGCCCCCACCCCTCTGAATTTGGAATTTTTTGTTCCTATTTTCAGAATAGCTTCTCAATAGCATGCTTAAGGGAAAGAAACCCTAGTGCAAAACAGGAAAAATATCTGTCTTAATAAGCTATAATATGTGAAAAGTTAAAAAAAAANAGCCCCCCCTCACTTAAATCCGGTATCCGCCCCTGCCCCATAAGCCGCCTCAGAGTAAATTAGCTGAATTTCACTCTTTCATGAAGAAAAACACGACGATATCTTCCTCATTGTTAGGTTTGTTAGGTACCGTGGGAATCGGACTTGTTTTAGCATTTAATTTATTCAACATTAGAAAATATCAATATATTAGAAAAGTTTCAAGACACCGAGCTTTTTTCTCCAAAAATAGAATGAAAAGTGGAGAATTGAATATTCTGTTATCTCATTTGATCAGTATGTTTAGCTTCCTGGTATATTCTATTACAGAAAAGGAAACTATTACTCAAACCAATCATTAGAGGTTGGATAATATTGAGTGATTTATCCAATAGTGTAGACTCAGGGGCATCTTATAACTACAGAAGAATGTTCTCAGACCCCCCCCCCCACTTCTCTAAAACTTTACACTATAAACCAGGGGTGGTAAAAATTTTATCATCAAAAACTGCTGAAATAAATAAATAAATAAAGTTTACAAAGGAAATGCTACACATTTTTTTTCTACAGATTTACCGATTCTGAACCCTATTAAGATAGAATTGCATGCAATTCTTTATATTAGACTTATAAAATTTTGTAAAATGATCCGTTCTTTTAAAATTTTCTTATTAGTCCCGGAAATCGAAATTTAGAGCTATATAACACTATCCAACATGATGTGGGACACCCTGTATAATGTATGTAAACCTCCCTAGACTTGTGTATTCTGTAGGTTAGGAAAGAATAAGACTTATTATGTGTAGTCGATACATGATTTATTCCAGCTGTTATACAAGCTGTCAATATATATTGGTAATAGAGCTGCAGCTGTCTTCTGGATTCCAAGCTGTTATCTTGCTATATGGATCTGCAGGATTAAGCTACTATACTAATGATTTCTAGCTACTATCTACTAAATTATAGCTGCTATCTACTAAATTATAGTTGATATCTACTGGATTCTAGCTTTTATCTACTGGATTCTAGTTGCTATCTACTGGATTCTAGCTTCTATCTACTGGATTCTAGCTTCTATCTACTGGATTCTAGTTGCTATCTACTTGTTTTTGATAAATAGAACTGCCATTTGCTATGTAGACTATAGATAGTTAAATAAAATAGGTTCTTATAGCTACTGTATAATCGTAAACTAATGTTTATTATTCTAGCTTTATACAAATGAACTACAAAGCTGATTATAGTAGACTGCTCTTTATTGGAAGGTTGGTTACAAACAGCTTATCTACATAGATACTAGACTGTAGTTGAACTAGGAGCACCAAACTGCTGATTCTACATTTAGAAAAAGGCTGCAATTTGCAAGTTATTTTTGTGTTTTTTAGATGAAGACAATTTTAGTAAATATTCAACCCCAAGTAAGTAAGTTGCTGATAATTACAGATAAAATGTTGAAAATTAACCTATTGTAGAAAGAACTAAAGAACTAACTTTGAGCTTTAACCAGTTTGGTAGGTTTCATTCTAAGAAATAATTACTATGGTTTCAGAGAAGAACTTGTTTAAAGTAAAAAATAGAAACAATTCCCTAAAATTCACAATATTTAATAACTTCTGAAGCCTCCATACTTAAATGTAGTTTTTACAACAATTATCCAAATTTTTAGATTAATCTTTCATATTTTCAAACAGACATTATTCATTTATTCAATTTTTCATCCCAAAATCATATATTATTATGGTTTATGAAATACTAATTTTCTTGGTTATTAATAAAATAAAATATCTCAGCCACCTGCTAGTAAAACTATTCGACCATTAAAGGTTTCATTTGTATAAAATTATGCATTTTGAAGTTTTATTTCTTACGATTTTAAATTTTACCACAGCATGAGTCTACATATAATTTAATTATAATTACTTGCCTTTTTAGTCATTAATTTAGCAGATTATTAATTTCATGATAGATTCTTGACAATCTCAACAAATTATCAAGATCTGAAAGATGCCTAATGACTTTTGTAAATCCTAAAAATCCCCCACGAAAAATTTTCAAAATATCTCTGAAGATCGCTCAAGATGAAAATTTATTTTCAAAGATTGTCCAATCCCCAAAGTCTGAATGTAAAACTACCATCTGAAATGTTTTTCGTGTTGCGGGATAAAAGTTTTTTCTTTTAATCTTTTGAAATAGCTTTTACAGACCTTTTCTCATTCACGACATAGAGGTTATGAAAAATTAATAAACTCAAACCAAACCTGAACTCCCCCCCCCCCATAAAAAAAGTTCAATTCATGAAAAGAGTGCACACAAGTTGTGGTTGGAGGGGGGGGGGGGCACGGGGAACCACTAGAAATCTCATTGCCCTTGTTGAAACCGAAGAAGACGGAAATTGAGTTTTGTTTCTCTTGGATATATTTACCAATTTTTCTTATTTTAAAATTACACTTCTAGAGGAAGGGGGGAGGGGGTTCAAGACAAGTTTTGTGCTTCCTGCTACTTCCCCCTAGATTAAATCCTAAATACGACCCTGATCTGGTGGTGTTAAAATTTTAAAACCCTGTTAAAACGGTTAAAACCTAGTTTTTTTTTTATTTCGGTTGCAGACTTTTTAAATATGTTATGACTTTGTCAAAATCATAAAGAGATTCCCTTCCTCACTTCTCTTCCCTTCCCTTGCCTTGCCTTTCTATACATAAACATGATGGAAGTACTCTGATTATCTCTAAGCACCCAATCAAGTTGAATAAGTATGATAATTTATTATCGAGATGATTGCTCTCAGCTCCCAGGAGACAGGAACACATGGTTTCATCAGCTACTTAACATCTTTAATAATCTTACAAACATTCATTACAAATAGACGAGATAAAAAATTATTCTGATTTTTTTAAAATTCTTTTTTCTGTTGCAAAAGTTTGGTTTTGAAGGGGTTTTATAGATCTGTGAATTTGTGTCAAATTTCCTGGTTTGATTTTTATATTTTTAAATGTAAAAATATATCATGTATATTTCTGATCTCTCTTTTTACATTTCTAAATATCTAAAACAAATATATATATCATATATATTTCTGATCTATCTATTTCTCAGAATATATATACTATTCTGAGATTTTAGTGCTACAAACCAAGTATAAATAGATTGTAAATATCTCGTAGATTTTCTAAATACACAAAATAGATAAACATCAAACATTGATCAATCAAACATCAAACAGGGGGGGGGGGCCCCTGTTGGATCAGATTTTTGATCAACATATCAACTTTTCTAAGATAAAACCTTGATAATTTGTTGCGCTGAGGCAAATTCAAAGATTTATTAGATTATGGAAAAACAGGAAAACAGAAGGAAGAAGAATTGAATCAGAATGGAGCAGTCAGACTGGAGCAGCCAGGATGGAGAAGTCAGACTGGAGAAGCCAGGATGGAGCAGGGTTGATTATAGGGCTAGGTCACCATTTTACGATTACGATTACAAAAATATAGTACAGGGTTATTCATAATACATTATTGGTTCATTATCGACAATTATTTATTTCCTTGTTGTTAACTTGATTTGATTTTAAGTTTCTTTGATACTAAAATGTAAGGAAGGTTTGAACTGAAAAGTCGGTCAACTTGGGTTCAAGTCTAAAGATAGATACGGAGAAATTGGACGGGTGTATATATCTATTTTTAACTTTTAATTGCTTTTACTAACAAACTGTGTGTTTTACTCATAATTTTAGAATATTAATGTAAATCATGAAAAGTCTAAAACTATAACTCGCTTCTAATTAGGTGAGAAAGGTTACTTTTAGAGCGTATTTTGTAATTTTCTGAAATACAAAATAAAAAACTACAGAAATATCTAGTTACGGCCCTGGATCAAATCATGTTAGATGCTTTTATATCTAACTGAGCATTTTTTGAGACACCACTGTATTCTAGAAAACAATCTTTAAGTAAAACAAAGAATTTCTAATTGTATTTTAAATAATAGAAGTTTTTACTCGCACTCTCTGAATATTTGATGGACTGAGACATAGAATACAATAAAACTAATGAATACTTAAACCACAGGAATAACAAATGATCCCACACACAAAAACCATAAACTTTAAAAAAAACGGGTGGACATGGCGGGAGGGGGGGGGGAGTTCCGTTATGCGCAAGTGACCCTCCATGCAAAGATGGCAATACTCGATTTACAATATAGTACTCTTAATATCTTTGTATGATCAACTGTTAATAATATTTAATAACGGATTATTTCAATTGTGTTCTCTCTGCAAAACATAGGGGATTTATTAGAACAAAAAAATTTTTGACCTTCCTTGAACTCGAATATCTCGTTCAGCTGCTCTGGTTCAGGATCTACCTGAGTAGCTTCTTCAACCTGAAATATCTCGTTCAGCTGCTACGGATCAGGATCTATCTGAGCAGCTTTCTCAACCTCAAATATCTCGTTCAGCTTCTCTGGATCAGGATCTATCTTGGCAGCTTCCTCGAACTCAAATATTTCATTCAGCTGATCTGGTTCGTTTACTGTTTCTACTGCAAATCCTAGCTACTTCTTTTGCTGCTCCCGAAGTCTCTGCTACTTTAGCTGCTCCCGGTCTCCCGGAGTCTTTCCTTTTTAAGGTGCTCCTTTAATCTGAAATGCTTTTTCTGCATTCTCCTACTTCTGCTGCTTCTACATCAGGTCTGTGAAGAGCTGCTCTATAGGGAACAGTGTCTCCTGCATCAAGATCATTCCTACTTCTGCTGCTTCTTCAATAGGCCTGTGAAGAGCTGCTCTATAAGGAAGCAGCGTCTTCTGCATCTGCTGCTTCTACAACAGGTCTGTGGAGAGATGCTCTTTAAGGGAGCAGCGTCTCCTGCATCCAGATAATCTCCTTTTTCTGTAACAGGTCTGTGAAGAGCTTCTCTGTAAGGAGCAGCGTCTCCTGCATCAAGATCATCTCCTGCTTCTGCTGTTTCTACAACAGGTCTGTGAAGAGCTCCTCTTTAAGAAGCAGCGTCTCCCGTATCAGGCTCATCTCGTTTTGCTGCTGATTCTACATCTGGTCTGTGAAGAGCTGCTATACAATGAGCAGCGTCTCCAAACTCAGGATCATCTGGTTCTTCTGCTGACTCTACAACAGGTCTGTGAAGAGCTCTCTATAAAGAGCAGCATCTCCTGCATCAGGATCATCTTCTGCTCCTGGAGTCATAGGTCTCGCTGGATCTTCTAGCTGCTCCAGATCACCAGTAAGATTGGTTCCTTGCAAAGGGTAATCTGAAGAGGATAAGACAGCATCTGATACCCTCGGTGATGCTGAGGATTCCAAGGATGCATATTCATGTATAATGATGGGGGAGGAGGCTGGTGGCCTCCTCTGTTCTTGGACAAGCATGTTAAAGATCTGATAACAATCTGATAGCAGTACAAAAGTGCATGTCTTCAGGCCTTGGTTGTATAAATGGAGGCTTAGCTCAACTTCTAAACTATTTCAGAATCCCGGGTGCACTGCCTTAATCTCCAGGTTCTATATTCTGCTATGACTCAGAGAAAGGAGCTTCAATCTCCAGGTTCCATATTCTGCTATGACTCAGAGAAAGGGGCTTCAATCTCCAGGTTCTCTGCTATGACTCAGAGAAAGGAGCTTCAATCTCCAGCTACTATATTGTGCTATGACTCAGAGAAAGGGGCTTCGATCTCCAGGTTCTATATTCTTCTATGACTCAGAAAAAGGAGCTTCAATCTCCAGGTTCTATATTCTGCTATGACTTAGAGAAAGGAGCTTCAATCTCCAGGTTCTATATTCTGCTATGACTCAGAGAAAGGGGCTTCAATTTCCAGGTTCTACATTCTGCTGTGACTCAGAGAAAGGGGCGAGGAGTTTAGAGTTTAGTAACCATACTTTAAATACTACAATAAGTGAGGTAAGATAAAAAGGACAAGGTGTACACTTTAAAGTTGACCCAGTCTGTAGGAGTCTAAAATGTATTCACCCAATATGTGAGAAATAGCACTCATAGCACAAACTTCAAATCAAGCATATAAATTATTAATATATACTTTGTACCCTAATTCCACGTGGGAATTTGAGAATAAAGAAAAGTTTGGTTTTCATATTTCTGGATTATATTCAAGTGTGGAGGATATTTAATGGATTCTTTATCAGCCATATTCGGGAATTACAAAGGGAAGGAGAGAAGTAAGGAATTAAGGAATTAAGGAAGTAAGGAAGTAAGGAAGTAAGGAAGTAAGGAAGTAAGGAAGTAAGGAAGTAAGGAAGTAAGGAAGTAAGGAAGTAAGGAAGTAAGTAAGGAAGAAAGTAAGGAAGTAAGGACTTATGAAAGTAAGAAAGTAAGGAATTAAGGAAGTAAGGAAGTGAGGAAGTAAGGAAGTAAGGAAGTAAGGAAGTAAGGAAGTAAGGAAGTAAGGTAGTAAGGTAGTAAGGAAGTAAGGAAGTACGGAAGTATGGAAGTAAGAAAGTAAGGAAGTAAGGAAGTAAGGATGTAAGGAAGTAAGGAAGTGAGGAAGTAAGGAAGTAAGGAAGTAAGGAAGTATGTAAGAAAGTAAGGAAGGAAGGAAGGAAGACCAATAGTTCAGAAAAAGAGACCGAAAGAGAAAAATCAGATGAAAAAGTGATTATCGTCTAGATTATCTAGATTATCGTCCCGGGGAAAAAAAGAAATTCCGAAGGTCCTAGCTGCGGATTTATCAAAGTAAGAACATAAGGATAACTATAGAGCAGTTTACCAGCTTAATGGCTGAATACTGAATAAAGCTGAATATGCAGAACTCTGTAGTTTATCCATCCTTTAGTTCTCATCCTTCCTATTCTTATATAGAATACCGCATACCTATACTATACAACCCTAAATACACTGTATTGGGTATCTATTTATTTCTATTCATGATACTCACCCCTATTCATCAAAACTTTCTGCATTTTCGAAGGAAAAAAAGAAAAACATTTCTTTAAATGATTATGCAATGAAAGTACGTTTAATGTTCTCTATAAACCTAGAAAACATATATTTGGAATTTTATCGACCAACGTCCTTGGTTTCCTCTGAGATATGATATTTAGTACACATAAAGGGGGTCTAACGCTCTTTCTATCACTCACTTTACTTCAATTTTTCAAATTTTTCAAATTTTTCAAATCTATCGATTGATACCAATTAGAGGTAGAACAAAAATAAGAACATTTTGAAATTTAACATGTTTTGTTTGGTTGAAAATTATGTTGGACCATTGAGATACGTGAAAATAAAAATTATTTTGAACTCACATTTTATTTGAGTAGATTAAGGGGTTAGAATTACACAAAAATTATTAAGAACATTGATATAATGAAAATTATAATGATATTTGACTAAAAGTAGGATGTCTTGCTGGGTGAAATTAGTGCCCGAACTATATCAAAAGAGCATGGCATTAAGTTGTTGTGACCCTTTCCCTGTGGTACTGAAAAGCAAGGCAATTTGTTTTCCTGCATTGTAGACTAAGGTCTTGCCAATCTTACAGAATAACTGGGCATCTATATATAAATTTGTCTTGTCTGTCTGTTTGTTTGTATCCAATAAACGTCAAAACGGCTGAACCGATCGGGCCCAAATTTTTTGTGGGACATCATGTGACTACAGAGAAGGTTTATGAATGATAAAAATTTAAAAAAATGTGTTTTAAAGGTTTTTAATTTTGTAAAAAAATTTAAAATTCTTGAAAATCCGCAAATTTTTTTTAAAAATCCGCAAAATTTTTTTCTTCTTTGTTTTGAAATGTAAACAAAAAAAACATGTTCACAATTTAAATAGAAGATGGGCGCAAAGCGCCCTAAAAGCCTAGAAAGAAGGGCGCGAAGCGCCTTGAATTTCTAGTTTTTTAAATTTGTTTAGAAGATTTGCATTTTTTACTTCATAATTTTTTTGTTCCAAACCTCTAATTGATAGAAATCAATCGAAAATGTTTCAAAGATTTTATTAATGTCCCAAATTTAAAAAATTGAACCATAATGAGTGCTACAATGTTTTAAAAAGCGTTTTTTAGAGACACCCTGTAAACACTAGCCATTGGAAGAGCAAATTATTTAGAGACACCCTGTATACATAGAGCAAATTATTGCCCTCCCCGTTCTAAGATCTTGAAAATAGACATTTTCTACGACTGCAATAAAAATTTTGTAAATTGTCCTATAAATTTATAAACCTGGTCTCAACTAGATTATTTATTTTATGACAACAATCAACATTTTTATGGCAATCGACATTGAAAATGTGCTTTATCACTATAACAATATATTTCTCCGAGTTATAATTTAAATATTTGGAAATCTAGATTTGTTTGCTCGTCCGATCATAGCTCATAAACCCCTAGACTGATTTGCCTAAAATTTTGATTGGGGAACTCCATAGAACCAGGGGAATGTTATCAGCTCTATTTAAATTCAAAAGTGATTATTATATTTTGTTTCTAGGTAACACTGGGTTTACTGCCAAGATAAAGTCTTTAAATTGTAAATTTACTTTCACACCGTTATGGATACTTTAAATTGTAAATTTACTTTTACCCCTTTATTGATACTTTAAATTGTAAATTTACTTTTACCCCTTTATGGATACTTTAAATTGTAAATTTACTTTCACCCCTTTATGGATACTTTGAATTGTAAATTTACTTTTACCCCTTTATGGATACTTTAAATTGTAAATTTACTTTCACCCCTTTATGGATACTTTAAATTGTAAAATTACTTTTACCTCTTTATGGATACTTTAAATTGGAATTTTACCCCTTTATGAATACTTTAAATTGGAATTTTAACCCTTTATGGATACTTTAAATTGGAATTTTACCCCTTTAGGAATACTTTAAATTGTAAATTTTACCCCTTTATGGATACTTTAAATTGGAATTTTACCCCTTTATGAATACTTTAAATTGGAATTTTAACCCTTTATGGATACTTTAAATTGGAATTTTACCCCTTTAGGAATAATTTAAATTATAAATTTTACCCAATTGGAATTTTACCCCTTTATGAATACTTTAAATTGGAATTTCACCCCTTTATGGATACTTTAAATTAGAATTTTACCCCTTTATGTATACTTTAAATTAGAATTTTACCCCTTTATGGATACTTTAAATTGGAATTTTACCCCTTTATGAATACTTTAAATTGGAATTTTACCCCTTTATGGATACTTTAAATTGGAATTTTACCCCTTTATGAATACTTTAAATTGGAATTTCACCCCTTTATGGATACTTTAAATTGGAATTTTACCCCTTTATGTATACTTTAAATTAGAATTTTACCCCTTTATGTATACTTTAAATTAAAATTTTACCCCTTTATGGATACTTTAAATTGGAATTTTACCCCTTTATGAATACTTTAAATTGGAATTTCACCCCTTTATGGATACTTTATATTGGAATTTTACCCCTTTATGAATACTTTAAATTAGAATTTTACCCCTTTATGGATACTTTAAATTGTAATTTTACTTTTACCCCCTGAATGAATACTTTAAATTGAAATTTAATTGATTTCTAATTAGATATATACCAACATCATTACTTATATTTTATAATGCATCTAATTTTCTAGCCCTAAGGCCGAATTTAAAGAATTTGAGCCGTGGTTTAAATTTAAGCCGCGGCTTAAATATGGTTGGTTCCACTTAAAATTGTATTAAATTTTTCAAGATTTAATCCGGCGATTAATTGAATCCGGTTTTTGGGGGATTTGAGACGCGGCTTAAATTCATTAAATTCGGACACCAGATACATAAACTTTTGTCGATAACTTCATAAAACCACAATCAGTTCAGCAGATT